GTGGCAGAACTATATATTTTTAAATACTGTTTTTGTTGATCTAAAGGATAACAAGGAGGTAGAAAACCTTCGGTGTTTCCTACTAAAGCATGGGAATTTGACTTAGTTGTTAGCCCAACTAGTATGTGTGGAGTGGAGACCTGGGTTTGACCGCAGCAAACATAAACAACGTATGACAATACATCCCTATAATTTCACCACTTAGGAGGCTGAGGCTGTAAGATGGAAGTTCAGAGACATCCTCAACTTCCATTACTAGGTTCAGAGCATGGCTGGGGTACTGTGTCTCCAAAAAGTCCCTACTACTTAGCTCTAGTATGAATTTGCAAATGTAGTTATTTCTGTTGGTTCGTAAGAAAAAAATACTTTAATAGATTTAATGTATGTTCTTAAGAGTAGCTGGGAAATGTGATTTCTAGAAATGTTTTTGATTATGGAACCCAAAGGAATTTGTTGTGGTGATGATGAGGGATTTCTTAGGGTTTTGTCATTTTATTGTTGGTACAAGGTCTCACTGTAGCCCAGACTGGCCTCAAACTCAAGATCCTCTGGTCTTAGCATCATAGTGCTGAGACTATGGTACCCACACCAGGCTCCAAGAATCCATGTTTCAAATGATGGTTCTATTGTCATTCGGTCTTTGGACTTAGCTCAGCTGAATAAAATCTAAAAAAAAAAAAAAAAAAAAATACATTACCTTTGAACACAACACTTTAATATCTTGGTGAATACAGAACTATGAAAAGACAACTGCACACACTTTTGCAGTGAGCTTGCCCCTCCTTTCAGCCAGATTGCTTCTCTCCATTTGTTCATTCAGCAAGTCGGGGGTCTTTGTAAGAGGCTTTAGTTAGAACCATTCTTAGTGTTCTTTTCACCCTGGCCTCAGAAGTACTCAGCCCAGCAAGGCTTCATGTGCAGTTCTCAGCCTGGGGGTCAAACGACCCTTTCACAGGGGTTCCAGACCATTGAAAAACAAATATTTACTTATGGTTCATATAACAGTAGCAAAGTTAGTTACAAAGTAGCAATGAATGGGGGGTGTCACCACAACATGAGGAACTGTACTAAAAGGGTGGCAGTGTTAGGAAGGTTGGGAACTAGTGGCTTATAATATAGATGACTTTAGCTCACAAACTTGAATACATCTCTGTCATACTGTTCCCAGCAAGGAGTTCAGCCTGAGACTGCACTCAGTGTCAGTGCTAATCACCACTGTCAGGGTCTGCTTGTCCCCAGCTGCACAGTCCATGCCATCATCTGTTCATTCCAAAAGAAAGCTAACTTACCTTGTGTCTAAATGGTCCTTAGTGTGTGATATAAGCAAGAGCTCTGAGAAGCCCTTTTGCTGTTTCTCTTGAAAGGCAAACTAGTGGTACTATGAACAGAGTCTAGTTTATTTTGTAATTACTAAGAATACTTGATTGAAAAAGTGAATCAAGCCAGGTGTGGTAGTGCACACCTTTAGTCAGAGCACTTAGGAGGCAGAGGCAGATGAACTTCTGTGAGTTCAAGGATAGCCAGGCCTACACAGATAAACCTTGTCTCAAGAAAGAGAAGGAAGGAAAGGAAGGAAAGGAAGGAAAGGAAGGAGGGAAGGAGGGAAGGAGGGAAGGAAGGAAGGAAGGAAGGAAGGAAGGAAGGAAGGAAGGAAGGAAGGAAGGAAG